AGCACCTCCTTAATTATTTTCTTATCAGATTTTCTTAAAGAGGTAGTATCTTTTGATATTCTAGAGTCATTAACTTTAGGAATCACACATTTAGATGATGTAGGATTTTTTAAACTTCTAATTCTATTTATTCCAACCTTCTTCTGAACGGTTATTGCTATTAATTTCTCCTCTTCGACTATTTCTTTATAAATGGCAAATTTTGTAATTACATCAGAGGAATCATTAATTGTCTTTTCTTTGGCATTGTAGATTTGAAGTTTTCTAACATATTCAATGTGTTCATATAGAAGCTGCCTTGCACTAATAGTATTTTTTATTACATTGCCATTTGAGTCAGTAAATATAATTGTATAACACTCTTCACCTTTTATATACTCTTTAACATAACATTTTGTTGGTTTTAACACATCACAGCAAAAGTAATTTACAACACACTGTACTCTTGATCTTAAGTCAATCATGGGTTGAAAACAAAAATTTTTTATTTATGATTATGATGATGTAATCAAAACAAAGGAAGATTTTTTGCTAAAAGTATTTAAAAAGAGTATATTATGAATAATTTAATAAAAAGTATATTTTTATTTTTTTATGATGAATATTTTATGATTTTTCTTATAAATTTCTCTAATTAATTAAAAAATAATCTAAATAACCTTAAAAGAGTATAAATTTATATCATTTATAATTTAAGACAATATTTTGTTCTTTAAATAACCTTTACTACTACTAATGTACTATATGAATCATTTTATGTAAAATTTAAAAACAAACAATTGAGAATTTATGATAAACATCCTTGCAAAGTCTAAAATTAAATAAAAAAATATTAGTAAGTAATTATATAATAATTAATAGTTATTAAGCTTTCTAAAATGAGTTATTATGACGTAATTAAAAACAATCAAAATTTTAAAAAATTTTTTATAAAATTTTAGAATTAATATATCTTTGAAAAACAATAAATATATTTTTGTAAGCTTTACATTCATAAATATATTTTTTTGTAAAAATTAATCATATAAAAATACTTTTTAGATTAAATATTTAAAACTAATTTAATTAAAGATTAAAAACTGTTTTAAATAACAAAATTATTTTATTTAAAATTACATGTGTTATTATAGTTTTTTAAAAAGAGGAAAAAATTAATAAAAATTAAATAAAAACAAAGTATATTTGTGTTAATAATAATAAAAGATTATTTTCCGATTTTAAATTTAAAAACATTACTATAAATAACTTAAAAAAATAATTAAAAAGTTGTTTTTATAAAAACATTATTATAATATCAATTAAATAATCTTCATACATAATAGCTTTTTATTTATAAAATTTAACTAATTTTTATTATTCAAACTCAAAAAGTTTTATTAATAGAAGTTAGTTAGATTTATATTTTATTATT